GAGAGAGGGGGGACAGAGAGAAAGAGAGAGAGGGGGAGAGAAAGGGAGGGGGGAGTCAGAGAGAGAGAGAGAGAGAGAGCGAGAGAGAGAGAGCGAGAGAGAGAGAGCGAGAGAGAGAAAAGGGGAGAGAGAGTCAGAGAGAGAGTCAGAGAGGGGGAGTAGGGAGAGAGTCAGAGAGAGAGAGAGACGGAGCGCCGGACGGTAAAGAGTTAAGCTGTCGTCTCACTGTTTTCTCGCCCCACCGTCCCCACAACGCGTTGATCCCCCCTCCACCTCCTCCACCTCCGCCAATACTAGGTATTAATTAAGCTGTTAATGATTGGCTGTGATCGTTACCCCCCCCCCCTGCCTCCCCCCCCCCCTACACAGCAAGATCTGTGAAGGTTAAGTGAACGTGCGCGCCCCCTGGTGGGATGGGGGTACTCAACTGGGGCATAATTGCTCGTTTGGTGGGGAGAGGCGCCATTTTTGTTTATGAACGGATTTATGTTTCGATGCGGGGTGTCTGATGATATTATTATTAGCTTTGATGAGAATTGATAATGATAAATCGGACTTTTTTTTTTCCTTTCTTTTGTTGTTGTTATTGATGTTGGTATTGTTGTTGCTGTTTGTCGTCGTTGTCGATGTTATCACCGCTATATATGCCTTTTAGGTTTCTGCGGTACTGTGAACGTCAGCGCGCTCACATGACCTTAGCAGTTGCGAGCGCCGTAAAACCCTATACTACTACTACTACTACTGTGAACGTCATTGTGGGTGGTTGGCGGGTGCTCTGGTGTGGTTTGCTCCTTCTTTCCTATCTAGCATCTATCGTCCTTGTCTCCCCTTTTTCTTTTTTATGTTTGTTACTCTCTTGTAACACCTCTAATCTTCTGGCGCTCATATGACCTTATGCAGTTGCGAGCGCCGTAAAACCTCTACTAAAACAAAAAAAAGTGGACGTCATAAGTTTGGGTTTTTGAAGAGGTGTGTTACATTTCTCTTGCTCCTTCTCTGGCTGTCACCTGCCCATTTTCAGAGTGTAGGTGGTTAGCGGGTGTTTCGGTGTGGTTTGCTCCTTCTTTATATTCAACATCTGCCGTCTTTACCTCTCCTCCTTTTTTGTGTATGTTACTCTCTATTCTTCGGCACTTATATATGACCTCATTGTATTGTAAGTGCCGTAAAACTCCTACTAAAACTAAACTTTAAAATTGTTCAGAGTGTGTTGCGGGTGGGGTGGCATGCTATGATTGTTTATGGTTTATTAAATTTTTTATTTTTTTAAAACCCGAAACAAGTTGGCGGGTTCTCTGGTGTGGTTTGCTTCTTCTTTCCTATCAAACATCTATCGTCCTTATCTGTCCTCCTTGTGTTTTATGTTTGTTACTCTCTTGTAACACCTCTAATCTTCTGGCGCTCATATGACGTATGCAGTTGCGAACGCCGTTAAACGTCTACTAAAACTTAAAACAACACAGTGCAGGTAGTTCTTGAATGCCAACGCTCATTTGAAATCTAACTTCTTATAATGAAAAACAAAATCACTGTTTAGAGAATGCCAAAACACTTTCCTGCGGAGGAAGGGGGGGGGGGCTTTCGCTTATTATCTGATATGAACAACGTCGGTAAGCCTCTTTACAATATCTTCCGTCTGTCATCTCACCTTCATTAGCCACCCTCGGTACGCTCCCTCCCATCGGTACCTTCTGCCGCTGCCCCAAAAAATACTGGGTGGGGCCGGGGGGCTATCTTTTCCACCAAAAAAGGGGCGTAGTGCTATATTTTTTTTATTTGGTGGGGGGAGGGGGGGGGTGTCTTTGTGGGTTGTTGTTTGGGGGGTTGGTTTTTAGGGGGGGGGTCACAAAGTGAAATCCAAACAGAAGTTTGCCAGGTGTTCTCGGATATGACATTTGAAAAAGTTGTGTTTTTAATGGAGAGGTAGTATAGAGTAATGAGAAGTGATTCCAGGGCTGTAAAGGTCACCAGGAGAGGTAATTGACTCTCGTACTGAAGTGTGCGGTAAGGATTTCGCTAGCCGCAGAGTTTTCATGAGTAAAAATCATGTTGCTTTTCTGGGCTGAGTGGGATACAGAGTCGTAGAGGACGTACCACACCAAGCCATATCATGCCATACTTTACCGTACCACACCATGCCATACTATACCATACTTTACCGTACCACACCATGCCATACTATACCATACTTTACCGTACAACACCATGCCATACTATACCATACTTTACCGTACCACACCAGCCATACTATACCATACTTTACCGTACCACACCATGCCATACTATACCATACTTTACCGTACCACACCATGCCATACTATACCATACTTTACCGTACCACACCACACCATGCCATACTATACCATACTTTACCGTACCACACCATGCCATACTATACCATACTTTACCGTACCACACCATGCCATACTATACCATACTTTACCGTACCACACCATGC